AAAAAAAAAAAACTTGCCCTCAAAACCAAACGAGAACACATTAATCTGTGCAGTACTCGTATTGAGTTTCTTCACCCAGTCCGCAGTCCATAAGTTTGAACATCGTCCCTTCATATTTCATCCGAGATTCATATTCCAAGCACGGCTCAGAACGAGCAAGTACTGTAATACACGAATAAGTACGAATGCAACCGGAATCCAGCTTCCATCAATACATTTCAACAAATTCGCAACCAGGAACTTCCGATGGATCATTTGACATACTATTCCATCCACGTTTTGAAGGAGAGATTCTGCGACATTTGTCCCCTTATCGTAAACTTTATTGCATCATATACTACAGGCATTAAATCTGCAGGAAATTTCGCAGCTCATATACTTGTTTACTGCGGTTGTGCATCAGCAGAACAAATGAAAGAAAATCGCAATGGAACATATAAAACAAAGGCAATCAGCCAGTTTGCTGCCAAAAACACAAGTTCCTCGCGTTTTTTTTTCAATATACTGTATTGTTGTGCATAATTTAAATAGCCGAAAAAATGGCACACTTCACAAGTAATCCTGGAAGCACCAGACGAATACAGTAAAATTAATTTGCACACAAACCCTAATACGTGGAGTACAGAAAATATTAACAGATACAGAAAACGCGTGATCCTTTAAAATGCTCTACCACTCAAATTAAGAGGATCACTGGCTTTTTTTCATCATTGCATTCTCTCCACAACATCTACTTCGCAGAAAAAAAAATTCTATTCAAACAGCACAAGATTTCAATAACCCACCGTTCTTGATTGAAATCGTGTCATTTAAGTTGATGCTCTGAAAGCGTTCATACAATTAATGATAACACTGTATAGAAACCATTTAAAAAAAACCGTTTTAAAAATATGTCGGACGAATGAGAATGAAATTAATTTCTGGTTCCTGTTCCGTTTTATAAAGGAATGGAGTTCACCCAGACTGGCATTCGTCAAATACCCTTTAAATTGAATTGATGCTGACAACC